GGTTCCACAAAGCTGCAGCTACACAAGCCCTTTCCTCCTCTAGGCCCTCTCAGACAGCCATGCCACCCTCCGGACCTCAGGCCCGTTTCGCAGAACACTGTGATCGGGGCCTGCTCCGCTTAGTACTGCTCCCTCCCTCCGAGCAAGCCCTTGAACCAGGCCTCTGCCCCCCTGTCCAGGCTGATGGACTGCATGTGCCATGGGCCGCCCCTTAACCTCCCCACACACTGGAAATGCCTTCTCCGCCCTCTGCCTCACAGGCGCCGATAGCTGGTGCTCCCAGACCTTTCCTTAGGAACCTTCCCTGACCAGAAACTACCCTCCATTTACCACAGGAGGGCGCAGCTGCTGTTCCGTGTACCGTGTGCAAGGGGCCACTAGCTGCTTCCTGTGTTACAACAGCACGGAGCAGCCAGGACAGTCAGCACTGATGCGAGGGGACCTTAGCACTGAGGTGGCCAGAGCACAGACTACCAGATGGGTCCTGGGTTTAGTGTGTGTTTTGAGTAGCAAAAATGCTAACTTCTAAGAGTTGTAAAATATTTTCTTTACCGAAGACCATCTGAAGCTGGACACAGTCTGTTCTTTACCCCATAAAAACCAACAGTGTACATTTAGTCAGCTTCTTTGGTCAGTGGTCAATGTTTTAAATATAGGTTTTCAATTTTATTTGTGGCCAGTGAGCCGTTAGCTCATTTTGGGTGTTCGGTGCTTATTCCTACATTGATGAGCACCCACCCTTAGCTCTGTGGCATCTGCACAGAGTGCTGCGGCATCAGTTAGCAACCATCTGTGGCTTCCAGAAAGCATCCTCACAGGTAAGGGTCCCAAATCCTTTCCCCTTCCCTCTTTGGAGTAGCGCACACCTCAGGCGACTCATACTGTAGTCGTGTGGCCAAAGTCAGTCACATAGGTGCCTTGACGTGTGCAGGGGCCAAATCCTGTCTCTGGAGGTGACTCTGTCTTTGATGGTGACTTCGTCTCCAGTGGTGATTTGATGCCTGATGAGAGGCAAGGTCCTGAGCCTTGCTGAGACCTTGCGGGTGGTGTGAGCGTAAAATGAATCCCTACCTCAGGGTGGCGGGCAGGCGGTGCAGTGTTTTGCATTCTTTGTGCACTGTGCTACACAGAGGGAGAACTGGAAGGCAGGCCACGGGCCTCAATGTCACAGGCACATCTTGGAGACCTCCTAGGGGCCGGGCACATGCAGCATGTTGGGGAGTGGGCTGGGCCTTGGAAGCAAGGTGTCAGCGGTCCCGGGCTGCAGGGGGCCTTGTGCAGCATCTCTAGGAGTTTGCAGGCCCTGATCCCAGGGCTGTTGGAACACCCCTGCCGGGGTTGTAGGGCCAGACCTGCTCTGTGTTCTAGAAAGCTGACCCTGGTAGCACTAATGTGGACAGGAATAGGGAGGGGGCAGTCAAGCCTGTGACAAAGGGATCCGCACAAAGGCTGGTGTGGGTGTCCATGACGAGACAGTGAGGCAGGCTGGGCGGAGAGGAAGAGGGACAGGGAGGACAGGCAGGGGCAACAAGCCTGTTGGGCCTCTTCCCTATGAAGAGGATGGGGCTAGATCTACCGCCGGGAGAGGGGCTCCTGGGCATCCCTCAAAGGATGGCCAGTGGCGGGAAGGGCCCTGTAGGCAATTTGTGTCCTTTGGAACCTCCTTTTGGAACCTTCTCATACATGCTAGCACCCACTGGCTGACTGGCCCCTAGATGGACGTTTTCTTGAGCCTTTGACTTGTCAGTGAAGATGACTAAGGAGAAAAGGCCCAAAAGGCTGCGTGGAGATGTGTGACGCTTGTCTTGGGCCCTGGGTGTGGGTAAACTTGGTGTTCCCCGCAGTCTGCTCTCTGAGGCCATGTGCACAGGTGTTAGTAATGGGAGTCTGATTGCAAAGCGATGTGTCATCTTATTGGAACCACTGATCCCACAAACAGGAAAATACCAAATAGGTCCTAAGGCCTATAGGGGTGCTGCTTGCCCACCTCACAGTGGCCTCGGGATCAGCAGCAAATAAGGTAACTTTTTTTTGGGGGGGGGGCGGTGCTTTGCCATCCGACTCCCAACGTTGCTGCCCGCTCCCTTCCTCCTCTGACCTGCCAAAGTCAGAAGTTTCTCGCATCTTCAGTGCTGGTCGCCAAGCCATCCTGTTATGGTGGGGGCGCCTGGCTGCCCCGTCTTCTTCATCCCCCCTCCCCCGCTCTTCTGGCTGTCACTCGTATCTCTGTCCCACTGTCCTGTTTCCCAAATATGTGTCTTTCCCTCTCATCTGTTTTCCCCACATTCTTCATCTGTCCCTCCCTCCGTCTGTCCCTCTCATCTCTGTCCTTCCCTGCAGTGGGGCTGATCACCGTCAGCATCCCTGATGGGCCAGCTCAGTGTTTCGGGGACACAGATGATGTCCAAAAGCCCCCCACCCAGAGCGCGTGCTGTTTACGCCGGTCCCTATGGGATGAAGCAGGCATGTGTTTGAAGAGGGTCTGGGGGACAGGGCTCCAGGCAGAGGGGATAGCACGTGCACGGCCTCTTCCAAAACCTGGAAGGTTTCTGGAATACGGGAGGGGTGGAGGCAGGACCTGGTGAGAGGGGACTAGGAGAGGCAGGCTGGGGTCAGACCACACAGGGCTTTGAGGCCCAGGTCACGCTGCTGCCCTCAGGGTGACAGGAAGAAGCCACTAGAGGGTGTTCAGTAGTTGTCACATGGAGGGAAGGAGCAAGAGTTCTCCACTGGCAGTGCCCTCTCCAGGGGCTTCTGCCAGCTCCTGTTCCGAATGATGAAGACGCACACCACTAAGTTCTAGAAAGTGCTGACATAACAAGTATTTTTAGCAGCAGAGCTATTTATAAAGTTGCACAAATTCAGATGTAAGGGAGGTGTGCGCGTGCAGGGGGCACCCGTGTAAATACTGCCGAGTCGCTGGAAGCCACTCGCACATCCCACCCAGCCCGCGCCGGCAGCCCTGCCCGATCCGACACAGACTGCTGTCTTGCCTGACCAGCCTGTGCTCTCTGGGAACCTGGCCAAGCCGGGCAGGAGAGCACAGGGGGACAAAAGCATCCCCACGCGGTCAGCTGAAGCTGCAGGCTCCTGCGGAGGGCTCCCTATAGCTTGGTGCCAGGCGAGTCAAAGACCAAGGACACCTGGGGTACACGGGCGTCTGGGCCGTGAACTCATCACTTAGCAGTGTCCCCGTGCCGAAAGGCTGACGTCGAAGCTGCCTGAGTGGCCCGCTGACGCAGCTGTGTCCTGCTTGCCCCTAGATGCCGATTCACCAGAATCTCAAGGAGCTGCTGGCCGTCAGGGCGGAGCTGCAGAAGAGAGTGGAAGACCTGCAGCGGGAGGTGGCCACGCGCGCCTCGTCCCCAACTGAGCGGGGCGCCTCTCCTTCCCACTCGGTCACGCCTGTCCACACCTCGGTCTGACAGGCTCCAGAGGTGGCATTTCTGGTGAGTCCAGCCATCAAGGCCATCCTGTGGCTCCACTGCTCTCCCCGGCGACTCAGGCAAGGGTCTCGCGACCCGTTCTGGCTGGAGCTTGTGATCTTGTCTTTTAGGATTAGGCCCAGTGCCCTCCATGTCTGGATGGTACTTCAAACCAGTGACCATGTGTGGGGCTAGGTGACAGCTCCCACTGTCGTCTGTGCTTCGTTTTGTGAACACCCCGTTTCCCTCCTGTCGGGTTGCTCAGGGAGGCTGTCTGTCCCGGTGACCCTGCGACCCGCCTATTGCCTGGGCAGCTTGGGAGAAACCACAGTGAGTGAAATGCAGTGCTTAGGTCCAAGATGGTCTCATATCGTTTCTTTCCAAGGTAGACCTTCCATTAAAACAAACGCCACTTAGAGACCATGTTGCCAGCCATGTGACTTCTTTCAGCTCCTTGCTACAACTTCAAAACTGTTTTAGAATTAACTATCTGCGGGGAAGACAGACCATCGCCCTCTTCTCGAGTTCTCTTCATGCACGGGGGCCCCTGTACCAATTACTGTTGTGTACATATAAGGTATTTTTAAAAAAAGAGAAACATGCCTTTATTTTCCTATGTCCTTTTTTATGTTTAGCCTAGTCACCCGAGGAGGGTTCTGCTTAACTGGACTGCGCGAAATTTTCAAACAAAGCTCATGCTAACTTTTATGTAGTACATCTGAAGTGTGATTTGAATATGGTCATTTAAATGGCCACGTGTTCTGTTCTCACCTAACTGGTACTTGCCTCCCGAGGTGGCCCAGGCTGTTGATGGCAATAGCAGTTTCCTTCGAGATGGCCCCGCAGAGGGGAAACTGAGGACTCGGGCAGCTCAGCACTGACCTCCCCGCGGGCTCCTTCAAGGAGCTGTCCCAGCTCCTTGCTGGTCTGACCTTGCAGCCTCCCGTGTGTTTACTGCTGCCGGCCATTTTGTCAAAACGAGTCCGCTCTCACCCTGTTACTGTCCGAAATAATCCCATTTTATCGAGACCCCTTCAGCTCGGTTTATCCATGCGACTTCCGGTCAATATTTTAAAGCACCCACTGTGCTTGCTGTAGCTTCAGTTGCCAAAAGCATAGCACGCCCTCCCCTTGGTTTGCCCGTCTCAGAGCCAACTTTTGCCAGCCAGGTTTTGCCCCTTCCCTCACTGACTTCGGGCTCTGGGACTCCGTCAGTAGGGGCAGGACTAATTTGCAGTCAGCTGGTCCACCCACTAGCACTTAAGCTCTGAGCTCCTGTGGCGTGTCACAGAATCTTGCATACTTGCGCCCAGCACAGCAGGGCACACGCATGTCTGCCAGTCACTGGGTCCCCCATCGCTGCAGGAATTAAGCTTGCCTTTTGAGCGCGGGGCGGGGTCTCAGAAGCTCATAGGGTCAGACCCGAGTACAGCTGCACTAGAATATCCGGTTGGGTTCAAATTACTGGATGCCATGCAAAGTCCTACATATTAACCTTATTTTTGAAAATATATTCTTAAAGGTTTTTTACAAATACTTAGAGAATAGATGTCTTTTCAACTTGGAACTTTCTGATAAATGATCTGGTATCCCTAAGGTATCAGAAGTACTTCAAAGTAATTTGATCACCTAAAATGAAGTCTACATTTTTATCAAGTAGGGATTTGTTTCTAAATCAATTTATTTAATATTAGCTTTTGATGTATGCTCCCAACGTATCTGATACCTTATTTATTAATGGATAAACCTGCTTATTCATTGATACGATGAATTTTTAAATGGGAACAGTTCCCATGTTTCCCCAGAAATATCCCTTAATCCGCCCCGCCCCCCCGGCCCCCGCCAGCTGCACTAAGACTATTAAACTTCGTGTAGACTGGAAGATGCTTTTGACAGAACCAGAAAGCGAGTGGGCTGCTTCGTGCCGACGCCAGCCAGCCTGGCGCTGGGGAGGCGGGGCTGCCCCACCCTCCCCTGCATGCTGGGCCCCCGGAGGAGCCCTAAAATGTCCCATTCCATAGGAAAGCAGCACAACAATCATTTTCCTTTCTATGTTCCTAGCACAGAACTGTTTCTAAAAGAACTAGAAGTAGTTTTGTTACCTAAGTACTTTTTTTTTTTGGTTTTATTTAAGTGTACTAGAATGTAAAACCTTTATGGGTCAGATTTTTAAAAACTGGTACAGTATCGTATTTGCCTCATCTGATGTACTATATTTCAACCTAATTAAAATGATAATATGTTTGCTGCGTGGTCTTTTTGTTGCCTAAGTATTTTGGTAGATATTTCCCTTGGAGATAACAGTAAACATTCAATATATGTAAAGTTCCTTTACATGATTGAATTCGTTTACTAAACTGTAAGTGATTGAGTGTTTTGGCTGAAATGTGTAAGTCCTCTGATTTAAAAATCTGGAATGTCCCTCGACCTTAACCTTGAGAAAATGTCGACACGGGAAAGGTCTGGAGGAGACACCTGCGAGTCAGGTGCAGCTCTGAGGAGCCAGGTCTGGTTCTAGAGCCTAAAATGGGGTGGACTCCAGAGACGCCCCAGAGTCCCCGCCCCGAATCGACAGAAGGAATGCTGGCCTCCTGGGGACGCTATAAGGGCTTGGATGAAACCACAGGAGCCCCTGGGGGGTCACCCTTCTTATAAGGGCCTTTGGTCCCTATCCATTTCTGTGGAGCAGTTACTGCAGCTGCCGTTTCCAGCAGTGACACTCTAGAAGCAAGGCTAGGAAGGCCACTGTGCCAGGCTCCAGCCGGCTGTGCACAATCTCTGCATAGGAGTCACTCGGCGGGTTTGAGGACTTGGAGCTATTTTACTACGAGGACCAAAATGTCACCTACCTCAGTGAAAACCTTCCTAGTGTCCACTGCATCTTGCTCACGCTGAAATGTCTGGCTGTCTTCAGTCTGTAAGCCAAGCTGCAAGGTCATGACAAGAGCACACTTTGTCCCAGCCAGGCCAGTCTGCACACAGCTGCAACGAGTGGCAGAACAAAGGGCCCCTGTCCTCGCTCAGCTTTCAGTGGCTGACACCACTGCGTGGGGTGCGCACCACCCTCCATACCGCCATTCTTTGAAGAAAGCAGACCAGTGGGCTTGGGAGTTAGTCTGGGGTCCACCTCTGCACCCCCAGCCCCAGGGCATCAGACACTGCTGCTCTACAGCTCCAGGCCTAAGCTCCCTGTACTCCAAGCAGGGTTGCCCCGCTGGAAGCACTAACCTTGAGAAATCCCTTTGGCTGGGGAGGAGGGGGAAGAGGTCAACGCCATATCGTAAAAAAAAAATCACTTGACAAAGGAAGTGCCTTAACACGGTCACAATGCAATCTGTTAGGTTCCGTTTTGTTTAATGCAAACACAGGACAGCTTACAAGTCACTGAAACACAAGCACATAAAAAGTACAGGGGATTCTCAGAGCAGTCTCTCAGTTCTTCTTCGCCTGCGGAACTAGTACTAACCCCCACCCCAAGTGGCCAAGGCAGCGGGCCTGCCACCATTCTGTGGGGCCCACCCAGGAGGGTGCCCCACACCACGAAGGTGCCATGTCGCCTTCATCCATGTGTCAGTTACCATCAACACTGAGTCCCCACTGCCACGTTAACCTGGTACAGACTGGCTATTTTCAATCAGCCCTTCTAAGTTCTCACTTCCCTATCACCTAGGACAGCCTCCATGTTGGCCAAGGCAATTTTGAGATAATCACA